GCCGCGCCCCGCCCGCCGCCAACCAGTGGCCCGGCGCCTCGGGTTCGGCCCCGCCCTGCCCCTCTGATTCGTTGCGGGGTCGCCCAATCAGAACCCTACCAACCGGCCTGCGTTTCCGCCGAGCGGACCGGAAGCTGGGGCAGCTCCACTGGGTTGGCGGGGTCGCCGTGGCTGCTGACGGGTTCTGGCGCCGGTGCCGTCCCGCGTCTTCCCGGCCAGAGGAGTGCGCTGGACGAGGGGACGCAGAGTGCTGGCCCGGCGATGCCTGAAATCAGAGTCACCCCCTTGGGTAAGGCCTTTGTGGTCCACGAGCCCAGCGAGCCACCACTTCCTTGGGCCCCAGCGCGGTCGGGGCCGCGGCCGGCAACCACCGTGCGCCTGGGGAGTGGGGACGGCTTTCCTTCTTCCCGGGCCAGCGAGGAGCGGGCTCGAACTGTTTGAGTTCGGATCCTGGCCGAGGGCTTGCCGCGTGGTCTCAGGGGGTTTAGGTAGCCGCGAGGGAGAGTGGGTCCCGAGTGGGTGCTGCCTCTGCGCCCAGCGGACAGTGGCGCTGACTCCAGCCACAGGGTCTCTTCTGCACGTGCACTGCGACGTCAGGACCCTGGTCCTGTGCTTACTGCCAGGTTACCCGCACTCAGCACTCAGTTTGACTCCCGTCTTGCTTGGTCTGCAACATTAAAAAAAGAAAAGCTTTGAACAGGGCGTTGAGCGTCATGCTGGTAATCCTACAACTTTGGGAGGCTGAGGCAGGAGGATCACAAGGTCTAGCCCAGCCGAGGCAACTTGGTGAGACTTTGTATCAAAATGAAAAAGAGCTAGGGATGTAACTCAGTACAGAACACTTTTTTGTCTTTGTTTTTTTGACACAGTGTCTCGCTATGCAGTTCAGGCTGGCCTTTAGCTCACTTTGTAGCTCAGGCTTGTCTTGAACTTGTAACGATTCTCAATTCTTGTGCCTCCCAGTGTGGGAGTGCTGGGATTACAGGTGTGCACCGCCACACCCGCCCAGAATACTTACCTACCATGCATGAGGTCTTGGGTTCAATGAAAAACAAACAAACAAAAAAACAAACAAAGAAAACCTGTTGCTTTTCGCAAAAACCATAAATGCAGCCTCTAGCAGGATAGAACAGTGTGGAAGAGGAAGTAGTCCATTGAAATACAAAATCCCAGGACAGTAGTCGATTGAAATACAGAGTCCCTGGATGTCTCTGGCTTTTTTTGTGCACTTGTGCCTTGTGTTATCCCAGAACTTGCTTCCTTTGCTAGACAAGATGTGAGAAACATTTTCTTGTTCTGTGCTCGTGTCCTGCTCAGGACTCAGGATCACGTGGACAATACTGAATCTCCCCAGGTCACTTCACCATAGCGCCTTTGCGAAGCCATTCCCCCGTCCTGGTGACCTGCTCACTACCTGGTGGGAAGTCATCTCTTCCTGGTTTTTTTCTGCCATGGTTCTGAAGCTTGTGGGCACCTCGGCCCTGTAACCTCTGTCTGGTGTACATAGGCTGTCTCAGGGCCTCCTTACCCTAGGATGAGAGCCGCGTGTGCACAGGGATGTCTCTTCCTTTGCCTTCTGCTGAGTCCTGTCTCTCCCTCTGTGTTGGGTTGAAGCTGTTTACTCACTGCGCTGCCCAGTGCAGGGCACTACTCTTGTTCCTTGCAGTTGTTGTGCGTCTGTTGGAGGGACAGTGCTTTGACACTGGCTGTCCTTGGCCTTGGAATCTGAACACTAGCCCTGTCCCCACACTCGTTGGTTGTGTCCCCGTGGATGACTCCATTACCTCAGGCCCTTACCTGTGAAAGAGGCAGCCCTTCCCCTTTTCGTCGTCTGAGTCTGGCATGGCTTCAGGACTTGAGTTGCAGCGGGGAGGGGACAGCAGGTACCCTGCCCTCAGGAGTTCACACCATGGGGGGATGGGAACAGGGCTGCAAAAAAACCCACACTTACTAGTACTGGGGCGTGTTTCTCCCATGCCTATGATCTGGGCAGCTTGGGAGGCCGATGCTGGAGGATTGCACATTCAAGGCCAGCTGGACCTCAAGTCTCAACTTAATGAGGCTGTCTCAAAAAATAAAGGGGTGGAGATGTGGCTCAGTCAGCAAGGCCATGGGTTCAATCCCCAGTACCTCTAAGAAAATAAAGCCCCTGAGGCCCTGCCACTGGCTGACTGCCTGATGGCTTGGCCAGGCTACTATGCCACATGTGGTTTGTATGTCCGGCAGGGATAGTTAAATTGGAGTAATGATGGAAGCCAGGCCCTTTGCTATTTGCAGAGCCCTGCTGAGGCTCAGGTCCTGTCCCTTTCCCTGTGTCCCCCTGGAAGCTGGGGGAGGTGGCAGATGGCAGATGGGAGAATGTGTTTGCCCCATCTGGCCTTGGGCTGGAGGTGCTGGTGGGGCTGATGGTTGTCAGCAGAGTGTAGGGACTTGGGCTACTCAAGCAGGTGGAATGGTGTGGGGCCCCTGTTGCTCACTTGTCTGGGCCGGGCCCTCTTGCCATGGCCAGAGTTATTGGTTACTGCCAGACAGCCAGGGCCACGTCTCCCTCTAGCTGGGCTGAGGCCACGTGGGCGACCCTCTTGGTGTGGCTCTGGGAAGGGGTCCCCAGCGCCAGAACTTGGCCTCCAGACCTTTCTCAAATTCAGGAGGGTTGAGGTTTCAGCTGGTTTCAGCTTGGCTGAGAACCCAGAAAGGACCTGAGCTTTTGGGGAGCACCAGTGAGGCCCTACAGAGCCACAGCTTGGCTCTGTTGGTGCTGGGGCAGTGACAGTACCCAGTACTCTGGCAGAGTTGCTGCAACTGTGACTGGTGACTCAGTGATCCCCTCCTTTGCATTTCCCTTGCCTGCAAGTGCAGGTAGTACTGTCTCCCCCCACACATCTGCACAGAGTGGCCTTGAGGTCCAGGCTCCTCCCACTGAAGGTCTGAGGTGCCTGGGAGGTGGGGTGTGGGTATGGCTGTGCCCCTGACCTGCCCTCCTACTTGAACAGGGGCTGGCCAGGATGTGGGCCGCAGCTGTATCTTGGTCTCCATCGCGGGCAAGAATGTCATGTTGGACTGTGGCATGCACATGGGCTTCAATGATGACGTGAGTCCTTTGGGTGTAGTCCGGGGGCGGGGAGGCCACCACCCACCTACTTCTTTAGCGGGGTCCCTGGACCTTGGCTTGAGGACAGACGAGGGGAGTGGGCAGCGGTGGACATCCCTGGGCAGCTGCACCCGTGCGCTGAGTGTGTCACATTGTGCGACAGGTGGGCTGGACTGAGGCGAGCTCCTGGCCCCGAAGCAGCCTGTAGGCTGGGCTCAGGGCTCACATTCTAGTTTGAGAGGTCAGCAGTGGTCCCAGCAGCAGGACCTTCCTGGGGTGCACGTGAACATGATGGTACAGATGGTGTCCCAGGCTGGGGGTGTACTGAGTTCTCTTCCTGTGCTTGCTTTGGGGCACCAGCCGGCCCCGCTGCTTTCTGGGGGCCCGAGCTACTTTCTGACATTTGCTCTTGGTTCTCAGAGGCGCTTTCCTGACTTTTCCTATATTACCCAGAACGGCCGGCTGACCGACTTCTTGGACTGTGTGATCATCAGGTGGGTGCAGTCCGGGTCATGGTGAGCTGCCCACTGCCTGGAGCTCAGGGCTCTGTGCCCAGGCTGTCTGTGTGCCTGACTCTTCATTGGGAGACCAGCCCCTCTGAGGGGCACCCTGAGGGGAAGGACCAGAGCCTGGCAGGTTCCAGGAAGTTGAGGTGGAGCCAGGGCAATCAGGCCTGGGGCCATCCCACCAGTGCCAAAGCAGTGCAGAGCCCAGCATTGCTCCTGCCCCTCTGGCTCGCAAGGCCTTTCAGCTGCGCGTGGCAGTGGTGACAGCTCCCTCTCGCTTCCTCCTAGTTTGTGTCACACATGTCCAGTGTCTGCTTGTTCCTCTTCCTGACTGCTAACTCTGGTCTTCTGGCCCCATGCTGCCTCAAGAATGCCAAGCCCTGCTGGCCACTCCAGATGTCTGCACTGGCCCTGACCCCAATCTCCAAGTTCAGTCTGGCCACCAACCTGTCACCTCCCCATCCCACAGGGCTGAGCCAAGGACAGGCACATTTCTCTTCCTCCTCCCCTCTCTTCCCACCCAGCCCTCCAGCCCTCTCGACCCTTGCTGCCCTCTGCAGCCCGCCCCAGAGCCCTCACTGCTGGGCTTCTGTGGTCTTCATTCCTGTGGACTCGGCCATGGGTGCTGCCCTCCCAGTGCAGTGTTCTCCCTGAGCCTTTCTTCTCTTCATGGATACACTGCTGTCTGACACATGATTTGATGCTTTGCTAGGCCTTTGACCATGCATTTGGGAAGGAGGTGCTTTTCACGTGTGCTTATTTTGATCAGTGTGTGGGGTGTGTCTGGTGCACAGGAGACCCTCCATGGATACGTGGTGAGACCATGAGCCCAGAGGTGGTGTGGGCCGACTGTGGGGTGGTCCCTGACTGACTGGTGCTGTCCCCACAGCCACTTCCACCTGGACCACTGTGGGGCGCTCCCCTACTTCAGTGAGATGGTGGGCTACGACGGGCCCATATACATGACCCACCCCACCCAGGCCATCTGCCCCATCCTGCTGGAGGACTACCGCAAGATCGCTGTGGACAAGAAGGGCGAGGCCAACTTCTTCACTTCCCAGATGATCAAAGACTGCATGAAGAAGGTGGTGGCTGTCCACCTGCACCAGACAGTCCAGGTCAGGGGCTGTAGGCACCAGGGCCTCACGGGCCTGCTCAACACCATCTGGAAGGTCGTGGGTCCAGCACACATTGGCATTTCCCCTGGACAGTGTGCACGGGGCATGGGCATGTGGACTTGTGGCTCTGCCCACATGGCCCTGAAGAGGCCAGGCTGGCCCCAGAAGCATGCTTGTGCCATCTGGGCACATTGGGGCTTGGGGCGAGCTCTGCTGTCAGAGACTTACTGGTGTCTCGTGTGTTGGCTAGAGGGAAGGTGAAAGGCAGAGGGCAAGGTGGCAAGGCCTAAATGGTGCCCATTACCAGCCCGGAGTGACCTTCTGGGCCAGGGAGGGAGGAGGGGTTCAGATGGGCAGCTGAAAAGTCAGATTTGGAAGCTTTCTCATGAAGGTGTGGCCGTGTGTGTGTCTCATTAGATCTGCACATTTTGGGTGTTTTGCCCTTCCAATTGAAGCTTTTGTCCCTATGAAACATGTCTGTCTCTCTTAGGTAATGCTGTTATCTTACAATCTACTTGTCTGGTAATGCAGTTATGCCATCTCCCACGGACATTTTTTTGTAATATTTTCATGCTGTGCCTTTTTCTGCTGTTTTACTTAGAACTTTTTGTACCCACCACCCCCTTGAATCCAGGGCCCTCCAACTGAGCCATATTCTGTGCTGCTTTTTTGTTTGTTTTTTGAGGCAGTTTCACTGTGTAGTTCATGCTGGCCTTGAGCTTACTATGTAGCCTGGGGGGCCTTGAACTCACAGTGATCCTCCTGCCTCAGCTGAGTGCTGGTTTGTAGGTGTGTGCCACCATGCCCGGCCTCTTACTTTTTTTGAAGTGGAGCTTCACTAAGCTGCCCCGGCTGGCTTCAGACTTTCAGTCCTCCTGCTTTAGCCTCTCTCAGGTAGCTGGGTTCAAGCCCTGTACTTCTGCTTCTTGCTCTGCACTGTATTTTATTTTATTTTTACGTATTTATTTTTTTGAGACAGGGTCTTGCTGTGCAGTCCAGGCTGGCCTCGAACTCAATTATGTATTCCAGGTTGGCCTCCAACTCCCAGAGACCCTTCTGCCTCAGCCTCCCAGTGCATTGTATTTTAAATGTGGCTCTTTTACATAGAATGTAGTTTTGTTTTTAAATTACAGCCTGATAGAGGTTAGGGATTTAGTTCAGTGTTATAAGGCCCTGGGTTCAGTTTTCAGCACCAAAAAATTTAAAAACAAAACAAAAATAAGTTAATTAATTACAACCTGATAACATGTTTAGATGGTGCATTTTGATTCTACATCTAGTGAGATTACTTGGGTTAGACATACCATTTAACTATTTACTTCCTATTTGTCTTTTTTGTATTACCTTTTTTGATTAATTGCTATTTTAAAATCCATTTTGCCTTTTCTTGTTTAGCAGTTACATATTCTTTTACAGTTCTCTTAGTGATTACAAGATACATTTATGCCAACAAAACCTTAAGCCACTGACTTTTGCCTTGTTCCTGGATAACACAAGTTTTAGAACATTTAAAATCCATTTCTTTCTCTCCCGATTTACTCACCTTATTTCCATGTAACTGTATCAGTGTATCTGTAACCCAGGGACATGTCTGTACCACTTGATGTGGTCAGTATTTTCTCAATTTTATGTATGTACTGTTTAGGCCTTGTGAGTTTTCACTTTTTACCCAGGATAATTTACCTTTTATATAAAGAAAACCAGCATGGGTCTGTTGGCAGTGACTTTTTTATTTGTCTCTGAATGGATTTATTTCACTTATCTTCATTCTCTTTTTTTTTTTTTTAAGATGGGGTCTTGCCATGTAGTATAGACTGGCCTTGAAGTTACCCTCTTACTCAATCCTCCTGCCTCAGCCTCCAAAGTGCTGGGATTGCAGGTGTGCACCACCACACCCTGCTCTTTTTTGTTCTTTCTTTCTTTCCTTTTTTTTTTTTTTTTTTTTTTTTTGACACAGGGTCTCAGTAGGCAGCCCAGGCTGCCCCTGAACTCATGACGATTCTTCTGCCTCAGCCTCCTGAGTGCTGGGATTACAGATATGTGCCATGACACACAGCATTCTTTTTCTTTTATATGTAAAACACCGTTTTTACTTTTCCTCCTTGGACTGCAGGAGAGCTAGGGAGCATCTGGGCACATCTTTGTTTATGAGGGCTCAAGAGATGAGCAAGATCTGCCCCTAGATCTACTTATCATTTCAAAACCATGGTTGTCTTCATTTGCAAATCTCTGTAGCTTGCAGAACATGTCCAGGAGGGTCAGTGTCAGCTGGTGGCCCAGCCATTGTTACCATCTCCTCCTGGCTGGTGCCAGCTGTCTATGCCACTGTGCCTTCAGGTAGCAGGGCCAGCAGGGACCAGGGAGGCAAGGCTGGTGGCCCATGACAAAGGCCCAGAGACATCTGAGGTGTTTCTCCCTGGCTTGATGTGCCCTGGAAGCCACTGCAGGCAGAAGGGCAGAACCATGACTTGCGCTGTGGTGGCTGTCATGCTATTGAGGCACAGGTGGCTGAGTCGAGCATGTGTCAGTTTGTGGACTGCGCTGTGACTAGGGTCTGCCTTGCAAGCTCCTGCTGCAAAAGAGATGCCACAAGTCCTTTCCAGTGATTGATGATTGCCTCAGAAAAGTTAGGTAGCCTTCACCAACAAAGTAATTGGAAATCAAAGGCTGGCTGCTTTCTGAGGGTTTCTGTAAAGAATGTCCAAGGACTTGTGCCCCAGGAAAAGACCATGTCAGTCACCGGACAGCTGTAGGCATTCCAGGTTGCACTCCTTCAGGTCTTGTCTCTGTCTTCAGCCCTAGCACCCAAAAAAGATCAAAGGGACCATCTCTCATTCAGTCTGTCACTTTAGCTGCCTGTTTTATAAATCACCATCTGCAGAGAGAACCCATTCGCTGTGAGAACCCATTTTCACAGTACAAGTGATTGTGGCCAAAATTCATGTCCTGTTTTTCTGGTATGGCAGACATAGGTCAGGCTGGGTACTGTAGACCGGGAACAGCATTGAGCCTCAGTCTCTTCATCACTGCAGTGAGGCCCCCTCCTGGCAGTGCAGATGACCACACCACCGCCCACCATGGGTGAGCTAGGCCTGCAGTGTGCTACTGAGACCTGGCCATTTTGAGCTAAAAGGACTGCCCAGCTGGGATTTCTCTCTTTTTTTTCTTGAGGCAGGGTCCCAGTATGTAATTCATGCTGGTCTTTTTTTAAAAAAATATTATTATTATTTTTTTTTGGTCTTATTGAGACAGGGTCTCGGTATGCAGTTCAGGCTGGCCTTGAGCTCACTTTGTAGCCCAGGCTGGTCTCGAATTCACAACAGTCCTCCTGCCTCAGCCTCCTGAGTACTGGGATTACAGGCGTGCGCCACTATGCATGGCCAGCTGAGATTTCAGAAAGTGGATTCTTCTCTTTTACTCTTTTCCCCTTCTAGGACTGATTTTGTTTGTTTGTTTTTGGTTTTTCTCCGGTACCAGGAACCGAACTCACGACCTTGCACCTGCCAGGCAGGCGCTTTTGCCGCTGAGCTAAATCCCCAGCCCCTCTAGGACTGATTGATTGGTATTGGGATGGAACATTGTTTGATTCATTATTTTCCTTTTTTTGAGACAGGGTCTACTATGTAACCCAAATATCTCAAACTTGAATCCTCCTGTTTTAGCCTATGGTTTCTGGGATTACAGGCATGTGCCCCCATGCCTGACTTCTTTTTAAAAGTGTTTGTTGTCCATCCCAGACGGAACCTGATGAGGATATATTTTCTAAGGACCTCGCTTCCTTTTTTGCAGTAGTGGGAGGTGAACCCAGGGCTTCATATGTGGTAGGCAAGTGCTCTACTACTGAACTACATCCATAGCCCATACTTCCTAGTTTTAGAATTTCTACCTAGTTTTAGAATTTTAGAATTGTAGTTTTTTTGAGTTTTGCCCACATTTTTAAAAAAAATTTTTATTTTTTGTCTTTTTGAGAGGTCTCGATATGCAGTTCAGGCTGGCCTTGAGCTCACTTTGTAGCTCAGGCTGGTTTTGAACTCACAACGATCCACCTGCCTCAGCCTCCCGAGTGCTGCGATTACAAGTGTGCACCACCACGCCCAGCTGCCCACATTTTTAGTCCTGCATTTATCTCTTTGGATGTTAGGTTCTGAAAGGTTCTCCAAGCCATGCCTGGAGACTCCATTTTCAGAGCCCTTGGCACTTTGTCTCCTCTGTGCTTTCGCCATGTTGGTCCATCTGGTGACTTTTGGTTGAGACCTGGGCATCATGGGAGAAAAACAGGAGCTGATGAAATGTTCAGAAGACTGCTTCCTGCCACACCTGCTCTCCCTGTCTGAGCTCAGCCCTCTCTTTTGCAGGTGGATGATGAGCTGGAAATCAAGGCGTACTATGCAGGCCATGTGCTGGGGGCTGCCATGTTCCAGATTAAAGTGGGCTCAGAGTCTGTGGTCTACACGGTCAGTGGAGAGCTTGGGGCTCAGGTGGGGCTGCTGGGTGTGGGAATAGCCTCCTTATTGCTACTTTTTTTGCCAGGGTGATTATAACATGACCCCAGACAGGCACTTGGGGTAAGTCGGATTCCCTGGAGCTCAGAGACCTGCGAGGGGGTAGTGGAGCTGCACACCAGGGTGGTCAGCATGGGCCCCATGTGGAGTCCCTGGGGAGCCCAGAAGCAGGAACCCCCGGGTTCAGGCCAGGCCCATGCAGAGGGGCCTAGGAAAATGGCTGTGCCAGGGCTTGCTCTGTGGGAACGAACTACCATAGGCCATAACGTGCCTCTTGCAGAGCTGCTTGGATTGATAAGTGTCGCCCCAACCTGCTCATCACGGAGTCTACCTATGCCACAACCATCCGTGACTCCAAGCGCTGCCGGGAGCGAGACTTCCTGAAGAAAGTCCATGAGACTGTGGAGCGTGGTGGGAAGGTAGCGGCTCTGGACTGTGGGGTTGGCACCAGGACTGTGGTCAGTGGGGGCTGGGGCCAGGCAAGGCCTCATCTCAAGATGCCCCTGAGTGGACACAGGCTGCCTCCAGTCGTGAGGTTCCGGTGCGTTTGGTTCTCACAGCAGCTGCTTGGCAAGGAGGTGGGCACAGCATGCTGCCCACTGAGCTCTCCTGAGCCTGCCTCACTGCCTTCAGGTTCTGATCCCTGTGTTTGCACTGGGCCGTGCACAGGAGCTCTGCATCCTGCTGGAGACCTTCTGGTAGGTGCAGCTCAGGCTGCTGTTTGGGAGCCCTACCCCATGTGGGCAGTACAGGGTGGGAAGCCCATGAATGGGAAGCCCAGGTGGGAAGCCCATGAATTCAAGCCCATTTCCATGAATGGGAGAGTTGGCTACTCGTACACCTGAGCAGGGTGTGAGCTTCAGAAGAGTTGAGGCAGCACTGGCCACCCCTGGTATCTTGGCCCCTCACTATTGTGGAGGGCCTGCCTATGGTCTGAAGTCCACATCACAGCAGCTGATCCAGCTGTTGTCAGGGTCCCTAGTCCAACCCACAACAGCCCCGGGGATGCTGTCTGCCGTGTTTTATAGGGCATGGGCAGAGGGTACTGGTGCTGCGGTCAAGACAGCAGGGGCTTAGCCCTCATGGGATGAGGTCCAGGCCATACAATGCTGTGCATTGGGTGCTACGCAGCAATGTCCCCCACTGCGGCCTTGCACTGACTGGGGTGGCGGGCCCTCAGGGAGCGCATGAACCTGAAGGTGCCCATCTACTTCTCCACGGGCCTGACGGAGAAGGCCAACCACTACTACAAACTCTTCATCACCTGGACCAACCAGAAGATCCGGAAGACGTTTGTCCAGAGGAACATGTTTGAGTTTAAGCACATCAAAGCCTTTGACCGGGCATTTGCTGACAATCCAGGACCTATGGTAAGGCCCAGGCAGGGTGCCCTCTGCACATCGTGTATGAGTCTTGCGCCCTGATCTCCATTTGTCCTGCAGGTTGTGTTTGCCACACCAGGGATGCTGCATGCGGGCCAGTCCCTGCAGATCTTCCGGAAATGGGCAGGAAATGAGAAGAACATGGTGAGGGCTCTGGGCTTGGGGCCATTCTCTGGAGACCTGTGAGGTGGGCATGACAGCCTCCCACAGGTGCAGGGTAGAGAGGGATGGTCCTTCGCTTTGTCCCTCCACTGCTCACATGCTTCCCCCCACACTGGCCTGGGGGATGTTGCTGCTCCTGGTGGGGGTGCTGGTGTCCAGCCTGGTCAGCTCAGACTGACTCAGTCTCCTGAGTGGCTGTACCACGATGGGCTCTCAGCCTGGCCCTAGGGTCTGCAGCAGGGCCCAGGAAGGAAGGAGCTGCCTGGGTGGATGTAGCATCCCAAGAAGGCCCTGGTGGCTGAGGCCGTCCCTGCTCCACAGGTCATCATGCCTGGCTACTGTGTGCAGGGCACTGTGGGCCACAAGATCCTCAGTGGGCAGCGCAAGCTGGAGATGGAGGGGCGACAGGTGGTGAGTCCCCACCCTTGCCCAGGCTGTGTGGGTGGCCAGGTCCCTGCTGGTGGTAACTATGCCCCCCCCACAGCTGGAGGTTAAGATGCAGGTGGAGTACATGTCGTTCAGTGCCCACGCCGATGCCAAGGGCATCATGCAGCTGGTGGGGCAGGCAGAGCCAGAGAGTGTGCTGCTGGTACATGGCGAAGCCAAGAAGATGGAGTTCCTGCGGCAGAAGATCGAGCAGGAATTCCGTAGGTGCCCGGTACCATGAAGGGAGCACGGCAGGGTGTACTCAGGCTGCAGGCAAGGCTAGACAGCCTGGACTAAGGCTGTTTGTGCTCCCAGGGGTCAGCTGCTACATGCCAGCCAACGGCGAGACAGTGACGCTGCCCACAAGTCCCAGCATTCCTGTGGGCATCTCCCTGGGGCTGCTGAAGCGGGAGATGGCGCAGGGTATGAGGGCAGGTGGGGATGTGAGGTAGGTGGGTGGCTGGTAAGTAGGGACCTGTGTTCACGCAGCTGCCCCCTCCCCACAGGGCTGCTTTCTGAGGCCAAAAAGCCACGGCTCTTGCATGGCACCCTGATCATGAAGGACAGTGTGAGTGTGTGGGTTGTGGGGGTGGAGGGCAGTACCACCCCCACCCTGACCTGCCCTGCCTTGCAGAACTTCCGGCTCGTGTCCTCCGAGCAAGCCCTGAAGGAGCTGGGCCTGGCTGAGCACCAGCTGCGCTTCACCTGCCGTGTGCACCTGCAGGACACACGCAAGGAGCAGGAGATGGCCCTGCGTGTCTACAGCCACCTCAAGAGGTCTGTGCCTGGTCCTGTCCCCACCCCTGGATGAGCCCTGGTCTCCCCAGGCCTCCCCCCAGCACCCTGTAAGACCCCAGGGCAAGACAGGGTCTCACGGGGCCTCACCTGCAGCACCCTGAAGGACCACTGCGTGCAGCACCTCCCTGATGGCTCTGTGACTGTGGAGTCCATACTCATCCAGGCTGCTGCCCACTCGGAGGACCCAGGCACCAAGGTGCTGCTGGTCTCCTGGACTTACCAGGTATGGGTGCAGGGGATCACTGGTATATGCTGTTGGGATGGGGAAGCTTCATGTGCTGGGTGAGATGACTGCCCTCTCTCCTTTCCTGCAGGATGAAGAGCTAGGGAGCTTCCTCACTGCATTGCTCAAGAAGGGTCTCCCCCAGACCCCTAGCTGACACGCTGCTCACTCAGGCCTGTGCCGTTGCTCTGCAACTGTGCCCAGCAGGACCTGGGCCCCAACCTTAGGACTGTGGCATCTGTGCCACCAAACCCGTGGCTGGGCCACAGACCCTCTCCAGGGACAAGGACAGCCCCATGACAGGCCAGCCCAAGCATAACTTTGGCAGAGCAATAAAGAGGCCTCTGGGGCCACCTCACATTTTATTTACTCCCAGTCTCTGAGAGAGAAGTGGGGGTACTCCCAGAGCAGCAGGACCAAAGGCTGCCAAGATGTCACCCTGTCTTTTGCACCACATCCTGATCCAGCCCCCTCTGGGGCAGAAACCTGGTGGTGGGAGCCAAAAGGAAGCGGGGCTTGGCAGGACAGCTGCAGTTCTAGGTGCCTGCGTCCAGTGAATAGAGCGAGGTCCAGCAGTTGGGCCAGCGTAACCTCGGGTGGACATCAGAGTCACTAGCAGTTGTCACACTGTGGACTCTGTAGGGTATAGGAGGCTGGACCTGTGGACCAAACCTAGATCAGCCTGGAGCAGGGGCCAACCCCAAAACCCACCCTCCCTTATTGGCAGGACCTGAAAAGCAGGCAGCTCATTCTAGTACATGCTTTGCCTATCCCACTGGGTGCCGTGGGACCCTGGGTGTCCTGGGACTCTGATCTGCCAGGACAATAGGAGGGCTTCAACTGGCATCAAGCACTCCCTCTCCCAGTGAAGACTCAGCCTTGGGGGTAGGAATCAGTGGGGTGCACAGCAAGGACCCCTCACCAGCCCACCTCTTACCAGGATGCCCCAAGTCCCCATAGATCACTGACTTCAGAAACAAGCCCTGGGCCGGGGCAACTCGAGCCTGGTGCTTGCCCAGAGGGTCTCTGCTTTCCAGAATCTCCTTCACGTGGGCTGGCTTCAAAGCCCCTCGCCCCACAGCCACTAGCACAGCTGTCATCCTCCGAACCTGTAACCACAGCCAAGGCTGGCACAGGGACCTGGTTGTGCCCACCCCCAAGAAGGCCCAGGAGAGCCCACCTGGCGGTATAAGAAAGACTGGCTCTCAAACTCCAGGGTCCAGAACTGCAGCCTCCTAGGGACACAGACACGTGTGACATCCAGGCGTGGGCCAGCACCAGCCATCCTAACTGCCGTGTGGCCTCAGGCAGGGGAAGCTGAGGGCTCATCCACAGGATCACATGACCGACCATCTGTCCCCAAGAGTGGCCAGTGGAGGGGATCCAAAGCTGATAGTGACTACAGCGTGTGAGGAAGGCAGCAGGAGGCTCTAGGCTTCTGAGTGAAGATGCCAGGGTGCTGGGTGCTGGGGTAGGGGGTGCAGCCTACCTACTGCAGCCTGGCTACTCAGCAGTAGCCACTTCCCTTGGGGTTGGCCCCAACTGGGGAGGTTCTAGGTCAGCAGCTGCCACCTGGCAGGAAGCCCACTGGGCAGTGCTAGGAGCAGCGGAACCTACTCCCTGCCAGGCTGGGCCGGAACCACTAGCATCAGTGAAACCTTTTCATTAGCTGCCAAAACCCATCTGCTGGGCAGAGCTTCGGGCAGGGCAAGGGTCCTTGGAGAAAGACAGCATTCTGTTTTCTGCTCCCTAGCCTGGCAGAGACCCAGCCTAGGGGGGTGCTCAGCTAGAGGCTAATGGGTATCTGGCCCACACCCTCCAGCTGGCCAGGACCCATGGATGCCTAGCACACTGTCTACTTCTCACCTGTCTTTGTGGCCCCAGACTGGCACTAGTACCCTGGGGTAGGGCCACAGCAGAAAGGCCACCCATCCTCACCTGCTCTCCGGGGAGAGGACAAAGGGGCTGGCCAGACCAGGGGACACGGAGATGCGGCGCAGTGTGCGGATGGAGCTTGGAGTTGGGCTGCCAGCCGACTGGAAGGCGCTGAAGTCGTGTGTCCCAAGGAGGTGTTGAGCAGCCTCCTGCATGGCGGCCACATCCAAGCAGCTGGAGGGAGGGGGCCAGAAGAATGTCAGGACAAGGCGGTGCGTCCAGGCAGGCCTATGAGTCCCCTCCCTCTCTGTCACTCAGGCCCACACTCACTCTGCTGGTAGAGCCCAGCACAGGTTCCGTTCAAACACCGGCAGTTGGTGATGGCAGGTGCAGCCCGTCACCAGGCGGTACAGGTACGTTCTGGAAGTGGCTGCGTGGCGCGCGTGGAAGTCACTGGGCACTCGGAAGGCCTGCAGGACCCTGTGGCTGCAGTCAGGCTCAGGGCAGGAACAAGGCTGCCCACCCACCCAGGTGACACCTTGGTACCTGGAGCCTCACCCCCAAGTTCTGTATTTCTGGGTCTCCAGCCTACCCCTGCGGTGGACAAGGCCAAAGGCAGAGCAGGCCAAGGGTGTTCAGGTCGTCCTGCTCACCTGATGGCCGGGTGCCTCAGGTGGGTGTTGAGGGCCTTGGCCAAGATCTCGGGGGAGAAGGGCGGCCTGCCCTGGCCACGCCGAACGTCCAGATGCGCTGCGTTGCTAAGCGCATGGACCCCGGCATCCGTGCGGCTGGAGAGGGTAAACCTGACGGGCTCCACCGAGTTCAGCCGCTCTGCGGCCTCCTGCAAGGATTAGGTCGAAGGCTGGATATGGTGGCCGCGCCTCACGCCCCCACGCGAGCGGGGCTCTCCCCCGCCCCCTATCCCAGCCCAGCAAGGGCCTCACCTCCAGGTAGTTCTGCACCCCGACAACGCGCTGGGCGCCCCTGACGGCCGCGACCCCGCTGCGGACAGAGGCGGCCACAGTCACCGGGCAGCGTCCGTAGACGCCCCCAGCCCCCGCCGCCGCCACCCCGAGGCCGGACAAAGCGTTTCCTGTCCCCGACCGCAGGGCACCCCCGCCCGGACATCACGTCCTCCACACTGGCTCCCCGGACGGCTCGCGACCCCGAGTGGCGGGACGGGCGGGAAGGGAGGTGGTTGGAAAACGTACTTAAAGTCTGTCCCCACGTACTGGAAGTACACGAGGTAGCGCGCCAGCCCCGCACCCACCGCCGGCGCCGGATACATGGCAAGCGGCTGGCGGCGACCACACGTGGTGTCGCTCGCCCCGGCCACGCCCCCGCGCCTGCGCGCTCGTCCTGGCCCGGCCGCTGGGGGGCGGGGTGGGGAGGCGGGGCCCGTCTTAGGGAGCGGGTTCAAAGTATGCCACCTGCTGGCCCGCGAAAGCCCTCCCCCCCCCCGACCGGCTACAGCGGGACGCGCGCTCACCTTGTGGGACCTGCACTACCTTCGCGCATGCCCTCCCTCCGTCATCCACTCGTTCCCTCTCTCGCCCCGCGCCGCCGCCGCCTGCCCTGTCCTCCCGGGGCGTGGCTGTCCGACCGTCCTGGTCAAATCCTTCCATATGTGGTTTTTGCAAACGCCCCGAGTTGCGCAACAGTCGGGATGGCTGCGGCGGGTGGGGCCCACGCCCTCGAAGTTCCCGCGGCTCCGCCGACAGCCTCCGAAGCCGGACTGTCGCGGCCCGCCCAGGTCCTCGACCTGCCGCTGTGGACCCCAGGCGAGCGTTTGGCGACACTCCCCGACGCTGACAGCTGGCGGGGGCAGACTTTGGCGACGCTCCCCGGCAGTGACAGCGGGCGGCGCACGCGGCGGCGGACTTTGGCGACGCTCCCCGGCAGTGACAGGCGGGGCGGGCCGCGGCGCGGCGGCCTCATTCCCGGGCGGGCGGGCGCCTAACGCGGCGCGGGCGGGACGGGCGGGTGGCCGTGGGGGATGCCGCTCGGCGCGCCGCAGTTCTCGGTCCAGTGAGCGCCACCGCAGCCATGACGGTGGAGTTCGAGGAGTGCATCAAGGACTCGCCGCGATTCAGGTGCGCGGGCCCACAGTGGGCGCAGGCGGGGCCGGCCGCCTTTGTGCCGCGGAGGGCGGGTGCTCGGCGTTGCGATCGCGACTCAGCCGCGGGGGACCGGGTGGGGGGCCCGGCCTCGGACAAAGCTGCGGCCCCTCCCCAACCCCGAACCCGGGGGCCGGAACAAAGGCGTCTCAGCACCAGTCACCTCGCGCGAGTGTGTGCGCGTGGGCGGCCCGGCAGTCGTGGACACGGCCACCTCTGGGACTGTCCACCCCCGCTTTGTGTCTGCATCTTTGTCAGTGGCCACCTGCTTCGACTGAGCCGCTTGGGGCCCTGCAGTCCAGACCCGGACAGGGTCGTCTAGGTCTAGGGCTGGTCTGTCTCTGGTCTCTGTCTTGGACCATGTGTCAGGGCAGTGCACAGGCATAGACAGCTGTAGCCACGTTTGGGGGCCTGAGGGTGGCCCCTTGGTAGGCCGCCCAGGGCCCTGGAGGGCTAGGGGTGCACAGAGTGGTGGAGAAAGCAATGGGGAGTTTTGGGTGGGAGGCGAGGGCTCTGAGCACCCCAGGGTCTGTGTGTCTTTCATAGTTCGCATGCACATCTGCGTGTGCCACAAGTTCATCGACATGTACACAAGTGTGCATCTGCTTCACTCCATGGGCAGTGTTTAGGAAACAGTAACAGGGCATCTCCTGTGTGTCGTTTGCAAGTGTGCATCTTCTCAAGGCCACTGATGTGTGTTCACGGGTGTGTGTGTGTGAGCTCTGCCACTCTGCCCTTCCTTTGAGTGCCAGACTATGCACATGCATGTGTGGGTGAGCTGCACTACCAGGCTGGCAAGCTGGATGCATCCATGCAGATGTGATGGGAGGGTGGTCCTGTGTGTAAGTGCACCACTTCATGGGTTCAGGCTGATAGATGTGTTACTTTGTGCAGTTGTGTGCTGCACATCTCTGTGTAGCCTCTATCCCTGGGAGCACACCTCTGTGGTGTTGCTGCGTGTGTGTGAGCATGTGTCCTGCTTCTGCATATGTGTGCTTGCTCAGATGTCTGCATTCAGGCTGGTTCTCTTGGGGCCTCCCTCAGCTTTCCTAGACCCCAGCCCTTTGCAAAACCACCCCACATAGGAGTAAGCAAGAAAGGCCTCAGGACCTGCGGGGAGGATCAGCCTGGGCTCAGAGTGGCTCCAGGCCCAGGGCATCAGGTTGTTCCCTGTGTTCTCTATTGTTACAACTGATGGAGGGAAGAGGTCTGAGTGATCAGGCAGCTAGTGATTCTGCACCAAGGCTGTTGAGGGAGGCTTGGCCAGGGCATCTCTGCCAGGGCTTGATCCAGGCTGAAGCCTCCAGTCCCCCACAACCCCTGGGGAGGGGTCTGGGATGAGGGTGCTGCCGCCATTCCCTCCCACAAACATCCTGTTAGACCTGGGGGCCTCCTATTTCCTCCCTTTGCAACACTGCTGTTAGGGAGAGGGATCTGGGGTGGGCGAGGATGCCAGCTTGGACCTCGGTCCTGGGGTCACAGAAGCCTAGCTCAGTGGGTTCTGGGGTGGGCTGTGACCTAACTGTGGTTTGGGGGAGTCCCTGCCCACTTGCTCTCAGGTGTCACTGAGGTTGCAACCTGATATTCCTGGTCACAAACCTGGGCAGAGCTGGCAGGAGGATATGGAAGTGATGTGGGGCCGGGTGCCCACCCTGCAAAGGGGGGTTCCTGCTTGGGGGCTGCTGCTGGGTTAGGCCAGCCATGACAGTCTCAGGAATGTCCTGGAACATTGGCTGGGGGTCCGGAGGAGCGGGAAGGGGAGCTACCAGGCCTTAGAGGCCTCTCCCCTGGGTGGGGCTCAGGCACTGAGTCATGGCTTAAGTGAAGGGGGGCTGCTCCCTATCTTCCACACTCTAAGGAGGTCTAGGTTCAGGACCTGAAGGGAAGCCTCAGGTACCAGGCTGGGAAGGGCAGTGCGAGGAGCTCTCAGGATGGTGCTAGTCCACAAGCCTCTGCTGGGCACCCACTGGGTCTCCCTGGACACTTTTGCCAGCTTCAGAGCAGCCCCGCCTTTGCCGCCTGCTGGAGACAAGGGCGCCCCCAGCCTGCGGGCGGCAGCTCCAGTGCAGCTGTCTGGGCCATCTGGCCTGCCTGGGGGACAGGGGCTGGGGACTGTAGCACTGGCTCCTAGGTGGACAGTCCCTTCTGTGTTCTGGGACCTTCGGCTACAGCAGTGAGTGGGTCTGGGTCCTGAGTCCCGAATCAGGCAGCCTTGGAGGGTTTGCTACACTGCCTGGAGGTGTGGGTGGGGCTCTCAGTTGAAGGGCGTTTCTCCTGGGAGGCTGAGGGGAGGGGTCATCCTGCCTGGGATCCTCCAAGTAGACACTGAACTCCCTTTTCTCTGTCCCCTCCCTGCTCCGGGATTTGCATCCCCTATCCCCTGGGGAAGAGGGTGCTGTTTGGAGGAATCTGATGTCCAGCTTGGGTGGGTAACCTGGCATGGTGCCTGGTTCAGGCAGCCTGGCCACTTTGGTCCCAGCTACTAATTCAGGACACACCTAGCTGCACTCCTGGTGACCTGCAGGCCCCTCCTCAAGTTTGGGAAACCCTAGAACCTGCCCTGCAGGGTGAGGGCAGCAAGGCATTAAGAGCTGCTGCCAGTGATGTACCCCATCTCTAGACGCCCCCTGCTCTGAGCCCAAGCCCCAGAGTACATCATCCTAGGCTGGCCAGATGGGCCCAGCTTACCAGCTGAGCCAATTGTGTGGTGGGGGGGGCGGGCTGCTGGGATCCTGGCCCTATTTCCTTATTTCCTGTTCCCGGAGGGGGGGTGTGTCACGTGCCCGATCCATCTGCCTCTGGCTTCCGGGGATTCTCCGGTGGCTTCTCCTGGTGATGTCACTCCTTAACTCTTTCCTCCCCAAGGCAGCCCCATTGTCAGGTCATCCTGGTGGGAGTGGGTTCAGAAACAAACCCTTCTCTGCTGGTCTGGTGTCTCCTGGTGCCCTTGCTTCTGTCTCACATGTGGGGGCCACAACCACCTGGCCAGGGTGGGCTGCAGGAGGAACAGAGGGGCAGGAGCTTTAGAAGTCAAGGTTCCCCAAGGGCCCAGGGCCAACTCTGAGCCCTGGAGAGGAGGGAGGCCAGCCAGGCTCTGCCCCTGTCACAGGCAGCATCACTGTGGAACGCTGGGCCTCTGCTGTCCCCGGGATGCAGCGGCTGGAGCCAGGGGGCTGTTGCAGCCACATGGCTTCTTCCTGTTGATGGATGGTGGTATCTGCAGTCACCGGACCTGGCCCTAGTCCTGCCCGCAAGGGTGTAGTGTTGGCCTCTCTCAGTATCAGTTTCCCACACAGACCCCTGGGGATGCACAGAGGAAGCCCTCCACCTGACCCAGTCAGCACAGCTTGCTGCAGGGCCACTTGTTCTTGTTGCAGAGCAACCATCGATGAGGTAGAAACAGATGTGGTCGAGATCGAGGCCAAATTGGACAAGGTAAGGGGTGGCCTGGGGCAGAGGGAGGGTCCAAGCTTGCCCTGCTGCCACGCCCAGCCAGACTTGGGAATGGTTGAGTGGCAGAACCTGCCTTCCAGGAGTCAGAATTCACACGCACTCCTGGGTCTGAGCATGCTTTGTGCACAGGACCTGGGTCTGCCTCGCAACCCCATTTGTGTGCTACTGCACAAATCCCAGGTGCTGGGGCCACATGTATCTGTCCACTTGGACCCTGAGTCTTGTCCCTCTGAGCAGGATGACCCGAGGTATGTCCCCTGTGCCTCTGCTGGCTGTTGGATAGGGACAGCTGCTGTGTGGGCTGTGCCTGGTATGACGGGGTTGGGGGCTGAAGGGGGAGGGCAGGGGAGGGAGGGGAGTGGGCTCAGAGCCAGGGGAGGTTGTCCCTGGCTCATGGTCACAAGACTGGCCCTCTGATCCTGCCTGAGGCTCCCTGTCCTGCCCTGCCTTCTGCTCCCCCACCATGTGGCGGTGACAGCTTGCAGGAGATGGTCAACTTCCACACAGTGAGCCCCCCACCCCCCAGCCAGGCAGAGATAGAGGTAGGCAGGAAAGCCATGGTTGCTCCTCCCCTAGTCCCTGATGGAATTCTGGCTGTCCTGGGAGCTGTGACCAGTGCGTGTGCTGCTTGCCTGGGGAAGCTGCCAGACCCTTACCCTACCCACCTGTCCCGTCCACAGCTTGTCAAGCTGTGCAGTGGTATGATCGAGGCGGGCAAGGCCTATGTCACCACCAACAGGCTCTTCGTGAGCGGCGTCCGAGATCTGTCCCAGCAGTGCCAGGGTGACACGGTCATCTCGGTGAGCAGCCAGTTGACCTTTGACCCTGAGGTGGGGTAGGGTCAGGGAGGCAGCCCCCATCCAGGGCCCAGGCCTCCAGCAGGTGGGTATCTGCACTCTGATTGGGTGCAGCCCTATGTCCTGTGGGCAGGGAAGGTCCCCTCTGATTCAGAGGAGGCTCTACTCACAATAGGGCCTGGCTCACTGTGGTCTCCCCTACTTCTCTCCAGGAATGTCTGCAGCGGTTTGGAGACAGCTTGCAGGAGATGGTCAACTTCCACACGGTGAGCTCCAAGAACTCCTGAAGGCTCTGCCTTCCCAGAGCTAGGCTGGTGGCCAAGTGGGGCATAGGGGTGGGTGGTACATTGTACTCCTCCAGTCTGTGTGGGTGGGGCCATGCTGTGCCTCAGTCAGCAGGGTGTGGGGGCACCTCCAGGGTCCGTGCCATGTCCCAGGAGGGGCCAACACAGGTCCCTGGGGTAGGGAGGCGGCACATAGCTCAAGACTGAGGGCAGAAGGGTCTTGGGTACAGGCTGAACTTAGAGGTTCAGCTGAGCAGAATTCTCCATCACCCTGGCTGGGCTGTTTCTGGGTGACAACCCCACTGCCATTCAGGAGGGGCCTGTGTGGACCCCATGGGGCCTGAGCACCACATGGGCGGGTGGGTACATAGCAAGCCGAGGCACACAGGGTGGGAAGCGGAACAAGGCCTGGGAGCCAGTGCCCCAGACTAAACAAGGGGCCCCCACCCCTGCAGGGGAAGCGCAGAAGTAAACGAGCTTAGGATGGCTCATCCTGCCTGCCTGCCTGCCTATCTGTCTGTCTGTCTGTTTGCCCCTGGTTTGGCCCAGCCCTTGCTCCTTGTGGGGATCTGACTCCAAGTGCTGGGGCAGGGGGAAGCCCTTGCCACTCCCAACACCCACCCTACTCTGGCCCATAGGCCGGGTGCTTCCTGCTGGGGGATGGTCCTGGTCCACCAGAGTTGGTGGGTGTGGCTGTGGGTGGAGCTGTGGAGGGACCTTTGGGAGCCTGGCGGAGAGCCAGGGGGAGAGATGGGCAGGTGGTCACAGCTGCTGCCTCTGGGCACTGGCCCAGGCTGCGGGTCACTCTGAGGCTGGTTCTGGGCGTGGGACAGGGAGCTGGGCCAGGCTGGGCTGTGGAGGGAGCCCCCTGGTTCTCACTGGGAGTGGGATAGATTCGGCCTTACCTCTGGGGCGCCCATGGAGACAGAGCCCCCAAAACCCCTCCATGCGGCTCCCCCAGATCCTGTTTGACCAGGCCCAGAGATCTGTGCGACAGCAGCTCCACAACTTCATCAAAGAGTGAGTGGCCAGGGCCCCCATGGCCACCAGTGCTGAGGAGAAAACCCAGGCCATACTCCCTCTCCCAGGGCTCCCACATGTGTGACTGGGGTGCCCAGGGTTCGCCCGAGGGAAATGTTGAGTTGGCATTGGGCATGTAGGTATGAAGTACCAGGTAAGGTTGACCCTGGAGGTGGTGAAGGGCGGGGGTCATCCTATGTCTGGGAGTCCAGGAGAAGACAACTTGGACTGCAGGGCAGGGAAGCAGAGAAGGAGGCCATCCCAGGGGCACAGGAGGGGCCAGGGAACTTAGGGCATGTGGGTCCAGCATGCACCTCTCTTCTGACTTTTGACCCCTGATGTGACACATGCTGGCCCCTAGGGATGTGCGGAAATTCAAAGAGACCAAGAAGCAGTTTGATAAGGTACGAGAGGACATGGAGCTGTCCTTGGTGAGGAATGCCCAGGCCCCGAGGCACCGACCCCATGAGGTGGAGGAGGCCACGGGTGCCCTCACGCTCACCCGCAAGTGCTTCCGCCATCTGGCACTGGACTACGTGCTCCAGGTCAGCCCGGGCAAAGGGCACAGCTCCTGGGACAGGGAGGGGGCCTGGCAGAGGTCAGGAGGTAAAGACAGACTGTGGGGTGGGGTCTTGGGGACCCTGGATGGAGTTCCTGGCCCTGTCCTTATGATCCCCATGCTGGACAGGGGGAAGGACTCTGGGACTATGGGAGGATGAGTTGCATAAACAGGAGCTAAAATTCCTGGTCAGGGCAGTCATGGCCACCTGGGCCTGAGCCTCACCTGTGGGCTCTTCTTCCACAGATCAATGTTCTCCAGGCCAAGAAGAAGTTTGAGATCTTGGATTCTGTGAGTGCTGCTGGTGGGGGTGCCCATGAGCATGGTGTGGTCCACAAGTGTTGGTTCCCCTGAGTGTGTTGAGGTCTCTGGGTACTGGGGTCCCTATGCATGTGAGTCACTGGCCGGCCCTCTGCCCTCTACCCACAGATGCTGTCCTTCATGCACGCCCAGTACAGCTTCTTCCAGCAGGGCTACAGCCTCCTGCACCAGCTTGACCCCTACATGAAGAAGCTGGCAGCCGAGGTAAGCCCTTGGAGCCCAGCCTGGGTGTCCAGGGAGGGGGCCACCGCCACCCTGACGCCTTCCCCCTACAGCTGGACCAGCTGGTGATCGACTCTGCTGTGGAGAAGCGGGAGATGGAGCGCAAGCATGCTGCCATCCAGCAGCGGGTGAGGCCCCACTGCAGGGTCCCCAGAACCCCTGCCCCTCCCCCTTCCCCACCCCATGAGCCCAGCTCACATCCACACACTGCACCCCTCTTCCCAGAGCTGCCTCTGGCCCCACCCACCAGAGCTGCAGGCTTAGGGAGGGGACCGCCACAGGGTGGGCCTGGTATCCCCTGACACCTCCCTTTTGCCACTGTGGTCACTTCTGCGTGACTTCAGTAAGGGGGGCTATTTTGGGCCCAGGAAAGTTGGGGCAGTGCTGGCTGGAGTTGGGGGAGAGTCACTCACTGGTCTCTCCCCTCCTGTACTTCCTAGACGCTGCTGCAGGTGAGAGCCCCTCCTCCACAGGTGCTTCAGCACCAAGGACAACACTGGTGGCAACTGTGGGCTGGTTGCTGGCATGAGCAGGACACAGACTGAGTCCAGACCTTGTCCCTTCCATGGGAGTGGTGGCAGCTGTGGTTTCTTGCCCCTGCTGAGCCTTTGAGCAGGTGGCCAGGTCTCTCCTCTGCTGGCCTGGCCTGCTGGATGTCAGGCACTCAGGACACCCTGGGCTCTGAATGAGCCTCTGTTGGGCAGCTGGAGCCGGCCCAGCTGGCAACATGCACAGCACACAGGATGGGGAGGGCAGTTTCCTTCCTGGATGCAGCCTCCTATTCCTGCAGGCCTGGGGATAGGGCCCAAACATTCAGCCCAGCTGTGAATACGAGGGGTCTGCTCTTGGAACCTAGGGGCAGAGGTTTCCAGTCTGAGCCTGGGCCTCACCTGGACTTCCTTTCTGGTGGACTTGGGGTGCCAGGGTCCAGGGGCTGCGCTCCCTGAGGGCTGGCACTCCCCACCCCCAGGACTTTTCCTACGATGAGTCCAAAGTAGAATTTGACGTGGATGCACCCAGTGGTGTGGTGATGGAGGGCTATCTGTTCAAGAGGGCCAGCAATGCCTTCAAGACATGGAACCGGTGAGGGCCTTTCTCAAGCAGGCACTGAAAGCAGAGTGGATGGGGGCCAGCTCTGCCTGGCCCTGACCTCTGTCCCCCTCACCAGGCGCTGGTTCTCCATCCAGAACAGCCAGTTGGTCTACCAGAAGAAGCTCAAGGTGCACTGCTGTGGGCTGACCAGGGGCTGGACCCTGACTGGCCTCCACTGTGGGGTGGGCTGACCAGTGGGGTTGGCACAGGGCTGAGGACACTGAGGAGCACCAAAGCCCAAAGAGCAGGGAACAGGGAGTTGGAAACAGATTGCTTAGGCCCCTAAGGTAAAGGAGCCCCTAAGAAGCCCCTAAGGTGGGCAGCCAGCACAGAAGGCTGGTGAGCTTGTGACCACAGTGCTGCTGCCCGCAGGACGTGCTGACTGTGGTGGTGGATGATCTCCGTCTGTGTTCCGTGAAGCCGTGCGAGGACATTGAGCGGAGGTTCTGCTTTGAGGTCGTGTCACCCACCAAGTGAGAAGGCCTAGCCCAGGATGGGGTGGGGGGCCCCTGTCCACCTGGCCTGACCAGCCCCTCCCTCCAGGAGCTGCATGCTGCAGGCTGACTCAGAGAAGCTACGCCAGGCTTGGGTTCAAGCCGTGCAGGCCAGCATTGCCTCTGCCTACCGTGAGAGCCCTGACAGCTGCTACAGTGAGGTGTGGCCCTCCCTGCCCTCCACATGCATGTGCACACCCATGACATTGCTCCCACGGGCTGCATGCATGCGTGTAGCCTGCGTGTGCATGCCATGCATGTGTGTGCATGTGTGCATACACGTGTGTGCAGGGTTGTGCTTGAGGGTCCCTGGCCTGTGCTGGGCTTCCTGGCTAGGGCGAAGGAGGGGACTTGCTGGGGGGTCAGGCTAGAGCTCCTGAAGGGCTTAGTGACTCCTTGCACCATCCCCCAGAGGCTGGACCGCACCGCATCCCCATCCACAAGCAGCATTGATTCCACCTCAGACTCGCGGGAGCGCAGTGTCAAAGGCGAGAGTGTGCTACAGCGGGTGCAGAGTGTGGCTGGCAACAGCCAGTGTGGTGACTGTGGCCAGCCGGACCCCCGCTGGGCCAGCATCAACCTGGGGGTACTGCTTTGCATCGAGTGCTCAGGCATCCACAGGTGCTCCTGACTCCGGAGGGTAGGGCTAAGCCTGAGGTGGGACCCAGCTTGGCAGAGGCTGAGTTCTGACTCAACCCTGCCCCTGGCCTTCTCCCCAGGAGCCTTGGTGTCCACTGCTCCAAGGTGCGATCTCTGACACTGGACTCCTGGGAGCCAGAGCTGCTGAAGGTACATGTTGGAGGCAGCTCTTGCAGGCCACTGGGTCTATGGGGAGGTGGGACCTGGATCTCTGAGCTGGGACTGACTGACATCCACACCCCATTCCCACCAGCTGATGTGTGAGCTTGGAAACAGCACCGTGAACCAGATCTATGAGGCCCAGTGTGAGCGCCCTGGTAGCAGAAAGCCCACAGCCAGCAGCCCCAGGTGAGGTGGGGTACAGCCTAGGATTGCCCAGGGAGCCCCTACCTGCGAATGCAGCTCACATCTCTCCTGGTCCAGACAGGACAAGGAAGCCTGGATCAAAGACAAATATGTGGAAAAGAAGTTCCTTCAGAAGCTGCCCGCAGTACCTGCCCTGGAAGCCCCAAGGCACTGGCGGGCACAGAAGTGCCCGCGACCCCACAGCTCTCCCCGTGTCCCCACCACCCGCCGCAAGGCCAGGCTTGAGCCTGTGCTCCCCTCCTTGGCTGCTCTGTCCTCAGGTAGGGGCCTCCTCGAGCCCCTGGGAAGCACTGAGGACTGGTTCCCTGCAGCCCCTCTGGAGTGGGGGTGGGGGCAAGCTGCAAGTCAGGGTGTCCTGGTAGAGTGGGTGGGTTGGAGGGAAGCCCTCAAGGGGGCGCCTTGGAGCTCTGCTCCTCTGCTGGCATGACAGGGACTCCCCTACCCTGGGGCTCAGTTTCCCCATCTGAAAAGCAGCTACCTCCTGCAGCAGGCACTCTGGAGCGCAGGTTCCGCCGGGACTCCCTCTTCTGCCCAGATGAGCTGGACTCCCTGTTCTCCTACTTTGATGCAGGGGCTGCGGGGGCTGGTCCACGCAGTAAGTGTCAGGGGCCCCACCTTGCTGCCCGCCCCTGCGCTGTCACCCCAGCAGGAGAGGGGCCAGGCGAGCGGACGTGTGGACTGGGTCTGCTCAGGGACTGGAAGGACACATGTCCTCAACAGGAGGGATGGGGCCAGGCAGGAGAATTGGGGCACCAGACTAAACCTGGAAGAGCATCTGGAGGACTAGGGTCCACCACCCTGGAGGCTGAGGCCCCGACTACGAAGTGATGTGTGGAAGTGTGTGTGAACGTGCAGGCTGTGTGCACATAGATGCGTGTGTGGGGATGGTGTGTACTCCTGGGGTGAGGCTGGGTGACAGGCAGCAGAGGGCGCTGCTGCGCCCGCCCTAAGCCCTGGTTCACCGCTTGCTGCCTGACCCGTGCCCGGCTGGTGGAAGATCGGTGCCGATGCACCCATCCCCCTGCTCGGCTGTGCCTGGGCTGTCCAGCGCTCCCTGGCGCTGTTCCTGGTTTCGTCTTCTGACAGGGCTCCTCTCAACTCCCCAAAATGGGCTGGTCCTTGGGGGTGTCCCCTGGAGGGACAGTAGGGCAGCCTTGCCCGGGTTTTCCAAGGGAGTGGGGGGCCCTGTGCCCAGGAACCTCTCCATGCGGTCCTGCAGGTTTGAGCAGCGACAGTGGCCTGGGGGGCAGCTCCGATGGCAGCTCCGATGTCCTGGCCTTCGGCGCGGGCTCAGTGGTGGACAGCGTCACCGAGGAGGGTGGGTGGCGTCCCTCCCACTTTCCGCAGCCCCAGCCCCAGCATCTCGGGCACCCTCCGTGAGCCGCAGTCTAACCAAGCCCTCCCCGCAGAGGGCGCGGAGTCTGAGGAGTCCAGCGGAGAGGCGGACGGGGAGGCCGAGGCCTGGAGTCTGGCGGATGTACGCGAGCTGCACCCCGGGCTGCTGGCGCACCGCGCGGCGCGCACCCGTGACCTCCCCGCGCTGGCCGCGGCGCTGGCCCACGGGGCCGAGGTCAACTGGGCAGACGTGGAGGACGAGGGCAAGACTCCGCTGGTGCAGGCGGTGCTGGGGGTGAGCGGGGTACCTTCCAAGTCCGCGCGGGTGGAGCCCGAAGGGGGGCATTTCCCGGCTCAGTCCGAGCCCCCATGCGCACTCCCCAGGGCTCCTTGATTGTGTGTGAATTTCTTCTGCAAAATGGAGCTGACGTGAACCAAAGAGACAGCCGGGGCCGCGCACCCCTGCATCACGCCACGCTCCTGGGCCGCACCGGGTGAGTCCGCTGCCCGGCCTGGTCCACCTGCCCCAACCCCCGGCCTCGGCCCGCCCCGACACGGCCCTCTGCCCCCAGCCAGGTCTGCCTGTTCCTGAAGCGAGGTGCCGATCAGCACGCCCTGGACGAGGAGCAGCAGGACCCGCTGACCATAGCCGTGCAGGCTGCCAACGCAGACATCGTCACGCTGTGAGCGGGGGCAGCTGGGCCGCCGGGAGGGGCGGGGCCGCCGGGAGGGGCGGGGCCTCACACTGCGCCCTCCCCCAGGCTCCGCTTGGCGCGCATGGCGGAGGAGATGCGAGAGTCTGAGTCATCATCTGGCCAGCCAGGTCCCCTGGTAGGCAGCAGCCCCACCGAGCTCCAGTACCGCAGGTGTATCCAGGAATTCATCAGCCTCCACCTGGAGGAGAGCTAGGGCCGGGCCTGCCGGGCAGCTGTGGGACCACAGCCTGCCTGGCCTGGATGCCCTGCATGTCCCTGAAGACCCTGGCCCCAGCCCAGCCACGGCCCTGTGCGTGTGGACCGTGGGTCCATCCTGACAGCCCCGGTGCCCGGGCGCTGCTGGAGCCCACTTGCCTGCTCATCCCTCCCTCTGGTGCCTGGACCCTGGGATGGGAGGGGTACCCCAGCACTGAGTCCTTTGAAACCCCACATTTTGGGGGGTGCTGCATCATCTGGTGCCCCTCACCCACCCGAGGACCCTCTGGCCTCAGGTGGCCCCTCTCTGGGGGCCCAGGTTGCTCACAAACCACTCTTAAATCCCATGTCACTTCGTGCCCCTCTGCCCTCAGGGCCTATGTCACCTGGTGCCCCCACCTTCACTGCCCCAGAGCAATGACCCGCTAGCTGGGTCCCCCTGTATCTCCAGAGGCCCTCCTGTGAGCCAGAGCTGGTGGCTGGCCACCAGTGCCCTCACAGGCAGGAGTGCGGCCCATCCAGGGAACCAACCCAAGTACCTCACTTAGTGACCCAGCATCCAGGCTGGGCTTCGCGGGTGCTGGGTGGATGGGGCTCTGGCCTAGGGTCACCGCCCTGGCTGGACGCGGGCGTCCCGTGGCCAGGTGGCTGGCCATGCCAGCCCCCAGTGCCAGATCTGTCCCTGCCTCCTCCAGAGACAGATCTCAGGCGCTTGGCCCAGAGCCTGTGCATAAAGCAACTGGCCCTTCCCACCCCAAGCCTGATGCTCTTTGTTACCCACCGAGTGGATTTTCTACAATGACCTCGTTCTTGTCTGCGTCTTTTTTCTGTGGACTCTCGAGGACCACCCTGACCCCGGCTCTGCCTGCCACTGGGGGGAGGCTCCATACCTCTTGCCCTGCCTCCTGGCTAGCCTTGCCCCTTGGGCTGGACCCTCCAATGGGTCCAGGGGTCTGTCCCTCACTTGTGGGCCCACAAATGCCTTTTTTCTGAAAGAGCCCAGAGACTGGGTCTCTTCAAAACTATGGGCTCTTGGTCAGGTCCAGGCCAGTCAGCTGGTCACTATGCAAATGCTGCCCAGGGAGGCTCCATGGGTGGTAAGGTGGGGACTGGACTGGGCGCCTGACTCCCTTGCCTGCTGGCTGTGACCCTAAAGAGCAGAATTAGCTTCTTTCTCCCTGCTTGAGCTCTGCCCACCGCCCACCCTGCCATCCTCTGGCTGGCAGGACCCCACACCCCTGCTCTGATCACTCCCGGTTAATAAACCTGCGGCCTGTGCCCATTGCCTGCTCATTGGCTCACCTGCCTCACTCTGCTCTGTCTCAGCTGGAGGGGGGTCTGCACCCTGTGCCCCTCCTGAGGGGCAGCCCCCTCAGCCCCCAGTGGGGTACCACCAGTGTCCCTTCCTAAAAAGGGCAACTCAGGCAAGCTGCCAAGGGCCTGATGGGGGCCCTGGGGCTTTTCTGACAAAGTCTGGCTCCTGGCACTACCAGCCCTTGTTCCCTGGCCCCTCTACCTTCCTCTGAGTGAGGTCATGTCCTTTGGTGGGAGTGAGGGTGGATGGGCCAGCTGATGTGCAAGGACGGCCTGGGGTTAGTGTCCCAGGCCAGATCCTAGAGTGCCCCCAGCCACCCAGTGTGCCTGAGTGATGCTCAGCGCAACATGAGTGACTGGGAAGACCCATAGACGCTTGTCACCAGGTGGAATTTCCAGTTTTATTACAGAGGAGTGTAGAGGCACTGGATGAGTTGGTATCAGCACACACTCCCTCCTGCCTATCCAGAGGCTGCCCTGAGGTTAAGGCAGGCTCTGCCAGACACTCACACCTACACACAGGTGTAGACAGAGCCAACTGTTGGAAACAGAGATGAGACACCAATCAGACATACCAGCAGGCAGAGGCCCTTCTGTCCATGCTCACAAAGGCTGTAGGTTCGTATCTGGAACACAGGTGTATGGAGAGGTGGGAACACCCCTCCTCCCTGTCCTGAACTTCCTGGAGCCTGAAGAGGCCACCTCCAGGCAGGAAGATGGGCAAAGAGATGCCCTGATGTGTTGGGTGTGCCTGATGTTGACTGGCCCTCTGGCTGGGTCATGCCGCTTCCTTGGCTGTTGGGTAGCCACGGAAGACTCTGTGGCAGCTGGTCTGGCTCATCTTGGGCAGCCAGGGGAGCCCCCTGTTGCCATAGCTCTCAGGGTCAGGCCCACGGACCAGATGTTCTGGCAAGGCTGGTTAGGGTGTAGAGTCGGCACTGGCGCTCAGCCTAACTCTTCCACCAAGACCATCTCCAGAGCCCCCACTGGGCGCCCAGGGTCTGTGACTTTAGGCTGACAGCCCCTGGCCCTGGGTGAGGTGCAGGCTGGCCCTGACGTAGTACTGGCTCCAGGCTGGGACACCTGTGCTCCACAGAGCCAGCGGAAGCCCAGCAGCAGGGTGAGGGCTGTGGCATCCAGCAGTAGCTCCAGCAGCTCTACGACAGAGAGGACAGAGGAGCCGAACCACAGGCTCCAGAGGCTCCCCATGGCGGACAGCAGCTGCGGCACCTGGGGTGGGTGGACAGGTGGCCAGTTAGCTGTGGTCTCTCCTGCATGCATCTGGGCAGCCCCCACCACAGGCCATAGGTCCTGGTCCTCACCGAGTACACGGGTGCTTCATCCACCATGCGATAGTTGAGCTCCTGGTAGAAGATGTTCACCTTGGCCACGCGGCTCCGGGGTGTTTGGGACCGCCATGGGCTCAGGCTCGGGCTCGGGCTTGGGCTTGGGCTTGGGCTCGGGGTCTGCTCCCCCAGCACACCAAGGATCCAGTCCTGTGCAGAAAGGAGGTCTGAGAGACGGTGACTCCCTCCCCAGTCGCCGCCACCCCACCCTATGCTCCGTGGCACTCACAGCTGACTTAGCCGAAGGCCACCGGGAGGTCCTGGCAGAGAGCTTGTATGAAGTCTCCCTGCAAAGGACAGGACAGCGGTCACAGCCTGCAGTGCAGCCGGGCAGTGACCTTGGGCTTAGGGCATTGTTCTGCTCACCTGCAGGGCCTGGGGCAGCGAGAGTCGCAGGACAGCCGGTGGGATTCCAGGGCCTGGTGCAGACGGTAGAAGCAGTGACCTGAGCAGGGAGCGGAGAGGTCACCAAGGAACTGCGGGAGAGACCGACCCCCCCCCGGAGGGCGGGGCTCACTCACCCCAGGCCGGGTGCCGCGCGCGGCTGCAGTACTGGGCTCCCGCCGGCAGGGGGTGCAGGAAGTAGCCGCAGGAGCATTTCTCCACCATCAGCTGCTGAAAGCAGGACACCAGGCAGGCCTAGGGGACAGGCGGGACGCGAGGGGAGGCTGCCTACGCCCGCCCGCTTCGCTCCCTGGCCCTCTCCGTCAGGAGACTCACCTGCCTGGTGTAGGAAGAGTTGTAGAGCAGACGCACATCCACGCCCTCCGCCCCGTCAGTGCAGCGGCCATAGGGGCTCCCAAGCCGGCGCACCTCGTCCTGGGGGCGGGACTTTCAGCATTACTCCCCGCCCCGCCCCGCCCCGCCCCGCCCTGGCCCGACCCCGCCCCCCACCTCTCGGATGCCGATGGTGGTCTCAGTCCCAGGCCGAAGGCTGAACCCTCTGTGCTCCAGGAAGGGCGTGTGGTTGTGTCCGTGAATCATGACCTTGATGTCGGCCTCCGTAGACAGCAGAGGGAGCTCCACTTGAGGCTCTGTCCTGAGGACCAGGCTGATCTCTGCGGAGGCCACCGGGAGGTTTGAGGCCACCTGCCCCACCTGCCCCACCTGCTCCCAGTCACATCCCTGCACCCCTGTGGGCTTGCACTCACTGTGGGTGATACCCGGGTGCTGCGCGGCACAGACACCCTCGAAGGTGTAGCAGCTGCCATAGGTGGGGTGGTGGAACGTCCGGAAGTGCCTGGAACCCAGGGTCACATTCAGATCATAGGTGCCCATCAACTGCCACCCCATCGCATGTCTGAAGAGTCATACCCATATCTCTATAGGGCACTGTTTATGGCCAGCCTTGGGCAGCTGACTCCTGGTGCCTGGCCAGCTGGACCCTGGTAGGACCATGCCATGCTGGGGGGAGCTGCAAGGAGTAGCCCACCAGCCCTGCCCTACTCACTGAGCCTGGCAGTCCTTACTGCCGTAGCGACACGACAAGACGAAGTGGTTTGCTTGGCTGTTCTCCCCAGCAGTGGGCACCAGGCCCAGGATGTCCATGTAGTGGAAGTGGTACCACTCTCGGGCAGCTGTCACACCTGACGAGTAGGTTCGGTAGAAGCAGTCGCTGCCCGTGCTGTTACACTGGGAGGGTGCGGAGTCAGTGTGGCCAGCCGCCCACCCCCGCAGCATCTCTTCCAGAGACAACACGCCCAGGACCCCCTCCTCACCAGTCTGAAGCCCACTTTGTGCTGGTTGCCCAGGTGCCTCAGCCACTGCAGACGGACTCCTCGGTCCAGCTTGAATGGGGGCTCAGGGCCAGGGACATCTGTGAGTGGGGTGTCCCTGCCCTCCTTGAAGTTGAACTTGTAGAGCGAATAGATGCTCTCCTGGGCAAACGCGTCGAGTACCTCTAGATGGTAGCGGAGGGAGCTGGGCCTGAGGGCAGGGCCGGAAGGGGGGCCTACTGTCAGCTACCTTGGGCCTTCCTAGGGAGAGTCACAGGATCCCCAACAGCTCAGACTGTGTGGCCTGTGTCCCTTCTCTTCCCTGAGATGCAGGAAGGGGCTGGGCCTGGGCCTCCCATGGCTGCAGAGCTGAGATTAGACCTCCAGCCTAGCCTGACCCCCAGGGCTCGGAGTCCTCCAGGCAGCTCACAGCCACTTCCCACATGGCTCCTTCCCTGCTGGAAAGCCTGGCTCCACTCCTCCACCCTGGGCTCCCAGTACCTGTTTCCTTCAGGGTGGTTCTGAAAGTTCTTAGCTGGGCATGGGGATGGGAGAGGTGGGGTCATCAATGACTAGTGGGACTTTAACCATGACCATGGCCAAGGAGATGTCCCAGGCTGTAGAGAGCAGGGGTTGGGGATCCCACCCTTCAGGCTGACACCTCAGGCCCTCACCGTTGTGGGTTCATGTCACACAGAGTAACAGACGGGAAACGCTTGCTCTCTGAGTGAACAGACACTGCCATGATGACGGGGTAGCGCCAGTACTGCTCCAGCAGGAGCCCGAGCTGCCAGTAGAGCACCCCCAGAGTTCCCAGGAGCAGCAGTCCCCAGGACACCTTCTTAAGCCGGTTTGGGCTGGAGCAGACCAAGCGGATGGTGCCATGGATGGTGGTGTTGGTGCAGAAGAAGGTGAGCAACTCCCCGAAAGAGGCGTGAAGCTCCACCAGCCTCTCCCTGTGACCCTGCTCCAGGGGCGGCATGGGTGGTTGGCTCCTGGGGGTCTCCAAGGTCCCAGATCCTGTGCTGGCTGCTGGGGCCACGGTTCCAGCCTGTGTCCAAGGAACAAACCTCAACAGGGCCCTGCCTGCCACCCAGCCCAGCCTGTACCCCCAAGCTCAGGCTCCCCTGCACAGTCGGGACACTCGGATGAGGGCTATCATAGGCTGGCCCCCACCAGGACCAGCTCCACACCCTTCCTCCCAGGATGCACCCCCCTCGTCATGTCTTATTGTGGCCCAGAGCTGAGCTTGGGTGGTGGGCAGCAGACTGCAGAAGACTGGTGCTTGCAGGGGGTTGAGGGTTTGATTCTGTGCTGCCACCCTAGAGTGGGGCAGAGACCCAAGGGGAGGGGCAGACCCAGGTGACCTGCATGGGAAGGGCTATGTTGTGTTCCTGGGCCCTGACCCTGGCCCTGTGGTCCTGATCCCTGGCCAAGAGACTGTCCCCTGGTTCCAGTGGCCTCTGCCAATTCCCAGCAGCCAGGGTGGCTGCTTTGATTAGGACTGGCACTGTTGGGCTTATCTGGCCAAGTGTGGGTTAAGGTCAGGCCGAGATATTGTTCAGCATGGAGAGCCCGGAGTGAAGCATTGTCTTGATAGACGAGTGTCCAACAAAGACCTCAGGTCTCAGGACAGGTGGGCCCAGGAGCCAGCAGGCCAGTCAGCTCTGGGGACCTGGGAGCCCAGCCCAGGGAGATCAAGCTGTTACTGGGGCTGGCTTGACTGCCTCACACCAATCTTGCCCTGGGCTCCAGTGTCCTGGGACATGCCCAGGGCCCAGCCCTCCCAGCATGGACAACTGGGTCCCTAGGTACCCTGGGGCTTGACAGGCTCTGAGTCAGGAAACAAGATCCATGAAGACATTTTGCACCATCCCCATCCTGATCTGAACCAGGAAGTCTTCAGATGTGCAGGTACAGACTGCAAGGCCCTAGCCCTACCCAACTGCCCACCTCTGGGTAGGCATCTCCCAGCCAGCCTGTGCCCACCAAGTGTGCTTGAGCAGGCTTCTTGGTGTGCCTGGGAACGTGGTCAGTAGGGCAAGCCAGCCAGCTTCAGGGGCTCCTGGACACACAGGTGGGGCTGACCCAAGGCCCCTTCCCTCAGGTTTGTGGTCCCCACAGTCCCTGTAGCAGCCTGGCCAAGAGTGCATGCCTGCACATGCCCAGAGCTCTGCTCACACAAGCCCCACAGGCAAGGCAGGATGGTCAGCTGCACGTTAAAGGGAGGCAAAAGCAGAGGCCCCAGAGAAGGGGGAACTCCAGAGAAGGGTACTCCATGGAGGAGCAGCAGGAGCTTCCAGGGCTGCTCAGTGGTTGGGCAGGGCCCAGATCCCTGAGATAGAGCTCAAGTCATGGCAGGCCTGGCCACCAGAGCTGTCCTCCGGGACTCAAGAGGCTCAGACACAACAGACCACTCGTGGGTGCACACAAGCCCATGCACTACAGCACACACATACACACACATATGTGTATTTGTACACACTGGGAGCCTACCTGGCACATACCAAACCCTCGTCAGGGGGTCATGTGACAGAAGGATCCAGAACCTGCCTCTCTAGACCTCCCATCCTTGTCCTGCAGAGACAGCCTCCCTTCCCTGCCTGGCTCTCCATGTGTGGTATGATCAAACACCTGTGGCTCGCACTTCTGTGGTGGTTGCCCACTGTTGTGTGCCCACCCACAGGCTGCCTCCACAATCTCTGGAATATTCTTGGGGGCTCTGTCCAGCATACCCTAGCCCTGGCACCACTGGGTGGGGCACAGCCCTGCACTTCAGGCCAGGCGGACCCGAGAGACCCCCTGCCCCATCAACACAGCCGCCCCAGAACTGAGCATCGGCACAGAGCCTACCCCAAGCACCCTTGGTACCTCAGGGCTGCGGTCTTCTCGTGCAAGTAGCTCCATCCTCATCAGTGGTGGTGTGCTCAACCAGCCTGGTGGCAGCTCTTGCAGGTAACGCAGCTGGATATGGCTGGGCATCCTCCTTTATAACCGGCCACTGGGTGTGGGGCGGGTGGCAGGGGAGGGCCCAGCTGCAGGCAGCCACACCCGCTCTGGGCCTGGGAGGTGAAATCTTGGGAAGGCAGAGATGCAGGGTCCCTTGACTGAGCAGAGGCGAGGCCCACCTCCCTGGCCCATGGCAGGGTATGGAACAACAGGCCCCATAGGGGAGGGAGGTCTGCACTGAGTGCCCCAGCTCAGACTCCCAGCAAACCTGGCTTGCCTCGGACCCTGCCACCCTGCTGCTCTCCTCCCGGAGGCCTAGAGGGATGGCTGTCTGCCACCTGCTGTCCAGCTTACACCTCCACCCTGACCACAGGTTTGTGGGGCCAAGGGACGCTGAGTGGGGGCCTCCACTCCCAGAACATAGGTGTTCCCTGGGAGCAGTCACGCAGCTAGGGAATGAGTGCTAATTGTGAGAACACACTGGGACCTGAGTGTGCAGGTGGCACCTGGTGGGGTTCCCCCCGCGGAGGTCTCCTCCAACGGCACCACACACTGAGATGACACTTCGCATGCTAGGACCACCTACCACATTCTAAACGCACAGCTTGTGCTAAGGCCATAACACACATTATGGCCACACACAGGCCAAGGCCTCACCCCACATTCAGGTGCTAACCCCTGCCCCAGGACCTCCCACCACCACCATCTCTGCTGGGGACCCTACAAAATGGCCCAGGTGTGGGTGGCTCTAGCCCTCTGTGCCCTCCTCAGGGTAGGTTTTGTGTTTTTGGCACCTACTATAGCTTGAAGCTGTGAACCCAGCTGGGGTAAGGGAGGGAGCCTCCACCCCACTCGGGCCTCAGCTCTGAGGAGCTGTGAGGTCATCAACCCCACGGTTCTGTAAGGAGGCAGTGGCTGGTGGTGACGTCCTGAAAGAGGGAAGTTACACTGGGGAAGAAGTGGACTTGCCCCCACTAGGCGCGAATTACAGCTCTGTCACCCACTGGCGGGTGACTGTGCCCAAGTTACTCAACCTCTCAGCCTGTTTCCGCGAGTCATCCTGGGGCTGAGGCGACTCTTCCTTGCATGTGGCTCACAGGCGGGGTGAGCTGGTGTGGCTGGTGCTGGACCCCAGATTCAGCACAGGCCTGGGGTTCCAGCCCCACATCTGAACCATGTTCCTTTGGAGGGGCTGGGCCTGTGTGCTGGACCACACTGGGGCCCAGCTGCAGAAGAGGAAGGCCTGGGTGCTCACTGGATCGCGTGCACTGGAGCAGTGGTGCCCCCAACACTGAGGGGCTGCAGAGAGGGCACTGGGAGGGCAGCAGAGCAGGGGGAGAGGCCTGGCCTCTATGCCCACAGAGCCTGAGTCAGCACACAGGGCAGTGGCACGTGGGGCTGGCTCAGCCTCCTCTCGGGAAAATCCTCCAGGAAATGCCAAGGCCCCAAGGGAAGGGGCACCATGCCCTGTGCCCTGCATCTGGGTGCTTGTACACAGCACATTGTTGGATCTTGCTTTTTGATCCACTCTGCCAGTCTGCATCTTTTGATTGGTGAATTGAGACCATTTACATCGATAGTTATAACTGATATGTATTGACTTTTCCTTGTCATTTTATTTTATTTTATTTTATTTTATTTTATTTTATTTTTTTTTTTTTTTTTTGGTTTTTCTCCAGTACCGGGAACCGAACTCACGACCTTGCGCTTGCCAGGCAGGCGCTTTTGCCGCTGAGCTAAATCCCCAGCCCCCTTGTCATTTTATTTTCCTGTTGTTGCCCTCCCCGCCCCATTTAATTGCTTGCCTTGCCTGGGAGATTCCTTCTGTTGGGGTTCATGGAGTTATAGTCTTGTTATCTCTTTCAGGAATGTCCTTTAGCCGGGTGTGGTGGTGCATGCCTGTAATCCCAGCACTTGGGAGGCTGAGGGGGGAGAATCATTGTTTTTTTTTTTTTTTTTTTGGTTTTTCTCCAGTACCGGGAACCGAACTCACGACCTTGCGCTTGCCAGGCAGGCGCTTTTGCCGCTGAGCTAAATCCCTAGCCCCGGGGGGGAATCATTGTGAGTTCGAGGCCAGCCTGGGCTACAAAGTGAATTCAAGGCCAGCCTGAACTGCATAGCGAGACTCTGTCTCAAAAAGAAAAAAAAGAATGTCCTTTAAAACATTCTGGAGTACATCTGGGGTGTTAAGTGGGGCAGTCCTGGAGTACATGTCTAGTGCCAGTGTAGCCAGAAGGCCCTCGTCTCTTCTGGCCCAGCCCTCACCTGCCTCCCCAGAACCTACTACCCATCACACAGGAGATACAGGCTGGGGTTGCACAAAGGTATCCCCAACTCCTGGTTACAGTGGCCTTTGGGCTCATTAGGTAACTATAAGTTGAAGCCCGGAATGGTGGTACATGTCTGCATTCCCAGTTCTCTTGGAGGCTGAGACAGGGGAATTGCAAGTTCAAGCCCAACCTGGGCACCTTAGTGACTTAGAAAGACTGTTTGAAAGATAATAAATAAGACCTGAGGATATAGCTCAGTATGAAGGACCTGGGTTCATTCCCCTGTATTAAAAAAAAAAAAAGCTGGGTGTGGTCATGCACCCCTATAATCCCAGCACTCTGGAAGGCTGAGGCAGCAAAATTGGCAAATTTGAGCCCAGCTGGGCAACTTAGTGAAAGAGACCCTATCTCAAAATTTAAAAAGAGCTGAGGGTGCGGCTTGGTGTAAAGGGCCCTGGCTTCAATTCCCAGTGGTGAAAAAAAAAACCAAAAAGACAAAATAACAATGAAAAACCCACACAAATTATGTTGAAAGATGTGGAAGATGTGAGGGAGAAGAGATGAATGGACATCCTTGCTCCTTAGACCAGGACTTCTGCCCTCTTCCTGGAAGGATACTGCTCCCAACCTGCTGAGCATGTGGATACTACCCACAGACCTTTGAGACACTGGCCTCAGGACAACAGAGCCAGGCAGTATCCCTCCAGGACAGGGCTGCCTTGGGAACTGTGGGTGCTGGATGTTTTGGGTGTCCCAGACTGAATGTCCTGTTCCAGGCTGTCTTCTTCCTTGTGGGTGTTCTCACCCTTCGGGGAAGCCCAGAGTGGTCCTGGGAGGGTTCTGTGCACAGATGTGAGCAGGAGGTTGGGATTCCTAGAGAAGCCAGTGGGGTCCCTCTTGGGCTGGGGGCTGCCCTGGCTGGGGTCCCTGGCCCCAGGTGGAAGAAGAGCCTCCTGTGGACACCCATGCAGTAACCACACAGCCGGCAGGGGCTCGGCCATTATGGTACAACACTGAGGCACCCCTCACTGCTGGCCTAGGTGCCAGCTGCTGGGTTGCAAAGGGCAACAGTGTGGAGTTGGTGTCTGACCAGAGGCCTCCTGTCAGGAGGAGGGAGTGTGTGCAGGTGTCCTACTGGGTTGCTTCAGGCCACTCTCTTGGACCCCTCCACCCCACAGCTCTGGGCAGACAGTCCCCACTGGGCAGATCTGCTCCCACCGGGGAACGTTTTTTGACTCTGACCCTTCTTGGTCTCTTGACAGCTATTACCACACCAAGGATGGCCCTGGCACAAGAGGAGGAGGCATGGCCTGCTGTCCCCTTGTTGTGGCCCAGTCACCCAGTGTTGGCTGGCAGGAAGTCCCTCCTGCTGTAGAAGGGTGGCTGAGGGGTCTGAGAACACCCAGATGTCAGCCTAGCTTCCCACTTACTATCTGGGCTTTCACGATTTAGAGATAGAAGGTCATAGGCATGTGGGTTGGGGTTCGGTTATGGGGGGTCTTTGCAGGACCTGTCTCCTCACTGGTCTCCACATGTGACCCCAGGTGTGCTCAGTGAGCAGGAGGATAATGCTGATGCTGGGGACTCTGGGCTGAGCCTTCCTTGCAGCCTCCCCACCTCTGTGCTCATGCCACCCAGGCATGGTGCCTCCATCTCCTGTGGGGACAGTCAGCTAGGAGAGAGCCTGTTGTTGCAGTTGCAGCCCAAACTCTGGTCTGGCTGCTGTCTCTACAGATTGCCTGGTGTGTTCAGGACAGCTGTGCTTGTACCCTTCCTCCTTACCCAACTTTTCACCCTCTGACCAACACTCAGCCTACCTTCTAGTCTGCAGAAGTATTGGAAGGCAGGTCTCAGGGCTGGCAGGAGCAAAAATGGAGTCGATCCTTATGTCTAAGTCTGCATGTCAAAGTGATGTAATTATGGACACTCTAGGTTCTGATATAGGGCCACGGATCAGCTCTGCCACAGCCACCCACTCACAAATGTGTCCCAGACTTGGATGGTTGTGGTGGCCTTTGCCGCTGTCACTGCTGCATGGTGGGTGTTGGTCTCAGCTGTTAGCCAACCTGGTAGCCATGGTTGATCCTGAGCGGGAGTCAGGGTCAGGGTGAAGCATGTGGATGTGGAGTTCACATCCTACAGAGACTGAGGACTGCCCCTGCTGCACAGTGCAGCCTGGGGGCACATCCCTCCCCACTCAGCCCAGTCCTCACTGCCTCCTGGGGAGGGTGGTGGGCTGTGGACTCACCCCCACCAGGACTCGTCTTGCTCAGACACTGTTGTCCCACTGCTTCCTGTTGTCGCCGTTGTCGCCCACCTTCCTGTCCCCCTCCACACTGGACCCAGAAGGAATACACCGTGCACGTCACCGCACAAGTGACAGCTGTGCCAGCATGAGCACATCCTTGCGTGCCCTGGGACTGCAGGGTTCCGGCAGGACTGTTTTCCCCCAGTCCTCCCCTCCCCAGGGCCAGGGAGTGGCGTGGGAGCAGAAGGCCAGCCCACACACACATAATGACCCCATTCATGCTGGGAGGAAAGCTCGAGGAAAGCTTGCCTGGGAAACACTGCAACTATTTTTATGAGGACGGCTGGGACCGTGGAAAGGGGTGTTGCTGGGTTGGCCAGGCCTGTGTCCCCCTAGCCTGTGCCCTCCGTTAAGAGGGGACGAGAGCAGGGCCTGGTGACTCATACCTGTGATCTCAGCCCTCAGAAGGCTGAGACAGAAGGGTTACCGTGAGCTTAAGGCCAGCTTGAACTACAT